CTTTTTCTTGAATATCAAATATGATATCATTATTACACCATTGACATTTTAAGTTTATATATATATATATATATATAAAATATCTACTAATTTACCAAACGTGTCAAATTAGTCCTCGGTAATTTTAATGGAATTATATGAGAATTTTTATTTTTTTATATTTCTTAAATTGGTATTTGAAATGAAAAAAATTCGTTAACTTGGATTTCTTTTTATTTGATACATAAATTTCATATGTATTATAAATATAATTTTTTTTATTTGAGTCAGTTCAAATTTAGTAGTATTTTAAATTTAACGAAATTTAGTATCAATAGTATTGTGTTTTTACTAAGTAGTAGTAATTACGGTGATGCTCGCGGCTCCTAATAATAATAATGTATTGTGATATATGAAAACAAGCATATAATTCCTTCCAATTTCTAAATACCTCTGTCGGGCATGGCCCAATATTTGACGTGCGAGATCAAACATGGGTCCCACAATTGCCAACAGAATCTTATCTTGAAAGATAATGTCGGGTGGGGTGAACATGATTTTCATCAAATTGAGCTCCTTAACTCAACTCCATGAATTTGTCACCGAACATCCTTGGTGCTGACGTCAAAGTCCCTTGATCGAATGGTCATAAGGCTCTCTACATTTAGCCTTTCACCTCACAGAATCATAGGAAATTCGAGCCGGACCTTCCACCTACGAGACCCATTGGCCTCGTACGAACGGTGTTGGGCCGATGCCTGCCCATGTAATTTATATTAAATTTCTACTAAATCAGGCCCATTTTCGTACAGGGTTTCACTGGGTTAGTCAGATTTACATGGCAGTTTGGATCTTTCATGCATCTTTTCTTCCTTCCAAATATATATGTATGGCATAAGTTTCTATATATACATATAAATATATATTATATATGTATATATGTAACTGCAGAAGAAGGGGCAGAAAACTAGCTTTCAAACTGATCTGATAATGGCAACTCTATCATCAACTAATAAAACCGGGTTCAAAATTTCTACAGCCATCTTCTTGTTTCTTCTCTTATATATGTATATAATGTGTGTTTGGTTGTGATGCAAAGTTGGATTAATAGGGTTTCTAAGGTACGAAAATTAAAGAAAAGAGAAGTATGAAGGCGGGCGAGAAGGAGAGGTGTTGGGTTCAAGGCCACCTGGGTATGTGAAGAAATGCATGAGTTGCAGGTCATGCATGGCGACTCTGATAACTAATCACGATGATCAGCCGCGTCAACCTGCTTTCAGAGAATCAAGGAAGTCGCTGAATTCATGACGATGGAGATGACGATGATCAGATTAGTATCAAAAGGATCGTATATATGCCACCTAATTAATAAAGTATATATATTTTCATTAAACAAAATCATTAAATGTCGGAATAAGTTTTTATCAACTTTGTCTTTCTCAAAAAGAAGTTTTTATGAACTTTGTCACGTGAGTAATTTAGGCCCGTCCAACCCGCTAAAGATAGAATCCAACGGCAGAGAGCTTAGGGCCCACTTTATCTGACTCAGTCAACACATGAGCATTCGCTCACGGGATAACCGTTGATGCAGTCTTCCTTTTGCTCTCCACCGCACGATCTTAACCCAACGGCTGTCGAACTCGTCTCCAACCTTCCGCAACTTTTCAGCGAACAGGGGTTCTAATATCGCCGGTAACTGGCTGTTCTCCTCGCGGGTTTCGATAGAGAGGAAAATGATTCTACCGAAGCACTTCCATGTCAACCTTGAAGCAATTCAAACCCGAATCCGATGCCCGATCCACTCTGACCCGACCCGTTTCCGTGCCCTGCTTACAGGTAACAGGTGCTTTCTTACAACACGCTCCCACCAAGTTACCACTCCAGTGCAGAAATAGTCTTTGACTACTTGTAGTCTATGTTTGCATCTTCCTTTTCTTGTCCTATTTCCATCAATTTCCTTCAGATGAAATTGACCTTTTAAATGGAATTGAATTCGTGGGATTTGTAACAAGATGCAAGGAAACTGGATTCAACACTAAATACAAGCCAGGTTGAACCATTCTGGATCATTAGTTTGTACAAAAATTAAAATTTTCTTTCTACGGATCCTAATAACATGTGGTATTTACTCAATTTACATTCTCCACCCAGAAGCATTCCAATGTCTAAAACAATGATGCGAACAGTATTCATCATTTGTCCTGTTTTAGTGGCACTTTCGGATATAATATATGAGTAGTATGTATTATAAATGCGAACCTGAGAGATGGAAAATAAAATTAACATAACAGAGCAACAACACCAAAGCCAGCCTTGATCCATATTTAATGATAACCCAATTCGTTCAATCGAATGAGTTCAAAGAGTAATACTTTTTTGTTCCGTATCTACTGGCAGACTTTCTCGCAAAATTTCTGGCAATATTTCTAATATCAAGGTACTAAAGCATGCTTAAAGAAAAATTAACACTACTTTAGCAAACAGTGTACCATATCCTAGCAACACGACCAGCAACCTTTCGAAATCAAGCCACACAACACAACAACTGCTGCTGACTATGGACAAGATGACATCAAACCTCACAATTTAGATTTTTTCAAGCCTTGCTCTTTGATATGATTGGATCCTTACATCTTTCTCTTACTACCGCAGAATGAACCTGTGTATTATCACACTCAATGCAGATGCTGCTGCGGTTAATGCTCTATTGCTATGGGTTCTTGCACCAATGTGTCAAGCCCTGCTGCTCTTGTATTATCAGTGTTTCATTTGAATGATGGGGCTCTGTCGCACCTGCCTCGGCCTGATGGTGCTCAGTGTCACTTGCCTCAGACTGATGGTGCTCAGTGTCACCTGCCTCAGACTGATGGTGCTCAGTGTCACCTGCCTCGGCCTGCACTTGAATGGGATTTACAGCATCTTTTGACGCATCAACTGACACAGTATTTCCTTTCTCCGTTGTTTTAGACGGCATCAACTTTCTGTCATTTGTTGTTTTCGTCGTGGGTTTCCTCAAGGCACTTTTCTCTCCATTCTTTGCATTAGATAAGCCAGTCTGCTCGGAAGGCAATACAGGAAGTGACTTTCGCTGTGGCTTTTTCAAATAGATAGGGGAAGTTCCTTTGCCAAGGTTGATATCAGACACTTTCTCATCCAGACTGAGTCGGTCTGGTGGATGTCTCTCACTACTATTTCCCTCAGATTCTGGAGGGGGTAAAGTCTTCTTCCTTCCAAGTTTTGGAGATTTAGCTCTTGTTGGTGGAATCTGCATCCAACTAGCAGTCAATTAGGATAAAATGATTATAGTAGCAATGAAAAATTTGTCTGCAGGCATAAATTAAATACGCAAGAAGACATAAGTGCTGCTGTGCACAGAGGACAAATATATCACAGTGCAATCATCAAGAGGGAATTTACTAAATGATGATCAATTGTTCTAACAACATTGAGAAAGAAATTGAGAATATTTACCAAAGCAAGTGATCGAAAGCAACAAATAAGCATCAGTTGAAACTAGAGTAAGGCAAAATTTAAAACCTTGATTGGAGTTAATATTCCTAGTCAATATCACAGCAGAAAAGTATTACACAATAAATTGAGATAGGCAAAACAGATAATTCCTAGCGGAAAGAAACAAAAGAGAAGTTCACTAGAACTGACACCTCTTAAATAGCTACTGATATATCTCAGTTCATTGAAGGTGGGAACAAGTAGGACAGTAAATAACTACATACTCCTGATTCCAGTGAAGGTGGTTCAAGAATTTGCTAAACAACTATTATGTTTCACATTCCGTGCAAAGTTGATAATACTCTCAATGATGAACTTGCCTTCTTTAACTCCACCTTAGGAGGTGCAGGTTCCTGGTAGAAGCTTGGCATAGGAGTTGCTTTAAAGTTCAGACTCTTCCGGAACATCTTAATCTCAGCTTCCTGAGTTTCCTGCAAGAAAATGGAGAACTATCAATTTAAAAAACAAACTGCATCTAGAAACATAGACATGCTAAAGCATAAACTACTACCTTGGACTTAGCCTGCATGTTACTCTTTTCCACTTCCCTTGCATGAATCTTCTCCTCAAGTTTTGAGTAGAACTGATGCAGAATAAGAAGACATTATTTTAGAACAAATTTTTAACTAAAGAAGTTTTATAATAATAATAATTATTTTTAATTTTTAATTTATTTTATTAAATTTTAAGTATTATAGAAATTAGAATCTCTTAGGTTTCCTCTTTTACTATGCTCTTTATAGTTAATTAACTCCTATACAAAAGCTAGTAGATATAGACAAAGAAGATAGAAAAAGAATAATGAATTAAAAATTTCTTTTCTAGGGTTTTATTCCCTCGTTATCTCTCATTGTGTTTGTCTTCTGATTATTGTTGTCAGCTATATTATTCGGTCTATTAATTCCTTCATCTTGAACTCTAATTTTCTCTGGGCAATTCTATTTTTCACCTAACTTTCCTCTATTTATAAACTATTTACAGGAAAAATTAGTTTAACCACCACTCATCCTACATTAAGAATAGCACCATGCAAGATTTAAGTTCGTAGAAAAATGAAAGTGTTGAAAGTATACTTACAGTGGTAAATAAGATTAAATTATATAGTCTAACACAGAAAAACCAACCTCTTTTCTCTTTTCAGCTCGTTCGTCACACTTAAAACTGAAACCGTAATTTGGCAGCGCACCAACCCTACGAGCTTTGGCATCTGCTTCTTTTGGACTTCTAAAACCAGTTAAGTTCAAATCAAATAAATTTGCAAATAAAATACACAGTGCTCCACTTCAAACCAAAAAGGACTGAACATTAAAATAAACAAAATGGAAAAGGATACGGAGAAGATTGTGCATCTTCTTCTACTTTATTGAGAGATTCTTTCTTCAATGGCTTCAGTTTTGTTATCTCCCTGTATCCAGGAATCAATAGTTCACGAAAAGTTAGGATGAAAATCTGTTGTCAATTAAGGTAATATAGAAACAATGATCTAAATGAAGGGACCGAAAAAAAAAAAATCAGATACTTGGAATATATGTTACTGCTGAAAATGCTTTCACTGTCATTTTCTTTTCCTGGTAATTTCTTTATTTCTTTGTACCACAAATATAATAAGAAATACATAGCTCCTTGAAACCAGACAAAATATGTTTCAGTTTAGATGCCAGTAGAACACATACGTGAGACCTTCAGATGATGCTGCATCAGACTTCAAAGGTTGCTGCTACCAGAAGAAAGAGTGGAAATAATGATCAGCCACACAAAGATAGTAATAACCAAAAATGATGAACTATTGCTGATTTAACTCAGCATATAATCATGACAAATGACAAGCAACCATTGACAATTCCAAATTTACCTTTGTTGCATTAACCTGCCTGTCATTGAACGATCTACTTTTAAATGACTGCCCGGAGCGTGAATTAAGACCAACAGCACCATTTGAAAGAGTTGTCGTTGCCTCAGCATTCTGCGCGTCTTTAGTCTTCTTAATTAACACTGATGAAACATTTCTAGCCCCTGGGTTCTTCTCATTCTTAATCTTGCTTTGACCCTTCGGTTGTTTTGCATGTCTTGAGTTCTCTCCATCATTTACCTGTCCCTCCTATAAGAAAGCACACCAGTAATTTTAGTCATGATAAGGTTATGCCGGCCAAATGAACATAGAGTACCACTTCCTACCTCAGAATTGGCCAAGCCACTGCTTTCTGCAAGAAGGTCGCTTTCCTCTTTGAGTTCCTCAGAAGGTCCGCCATCTTCCAGCTTGGACTCACTTTCTGAAATCCCATTTGTTCCACCAATCTCTGCAGTTTTGTCAACACTCCCATTCATGGCACCAGAAACAACAACATTTTCCCCAGCAGCAAGTTCTTTGTGAACACCGTTTTCATGGGAAGCGTCAAGCCCATCAGCAGGTATAACATTACCAGAATCCATCATTCACTACATGAAAGGAAAAACGTAAAAGCATGAACTGTAAGTTTGCAACGCTTAGCATATCTCAAAATTCAAGCAACTCACTCAAAAACAAGCAAAGAAAATGCTATAACGGGCACAGGCGACTATTGAACTCTGAGGAACAGAAAGTTCAAACGAGCCATCTTTTCTATGCAATAAGTTGCGTACAAGTATCAAGAACAATAAGTCAACATCTTTGCTGATTCTAATCACAAAAAGCTATCATAAGGTGGTCAGTTTTTATCATATTTAGGAGCTTTTTCAAATGTCACTATAGGTAAATCCATCTATTAGAACAAAAGGGGACTAAGAACATGTTAAACATACTTTTGTGAGAAACAAACGTCTCGACAAATGAAGAATGCCTGCTAAATCCTCAACAATACGACTCTATTTTATTTTATGTATGTTATTAGTGAACCAATTTACTCTCTTTCCTCGGTAAGAAAAAAACTAATCTATTCAGCCAGTACTTGGCTGCCGAAGGAAACAAGCAAAAAAACCACAGACTTGGGGAACACTCGTTAGGGTAATCTAGGTACAAAAAAACCAGAAAATACAGTAGGAAACATTAAATCCTTCATTTTCCTCCACTTTCTTAGCAGCCGGAAGGAGGCAAACGGCGTTGGCACATAAATCGATCTCGCGAAATGAACTTACACAGAGCAGAACCAAACAGACCAAGCGACTTAAAACGAAGACTAACACATTGAACTACATCCCAACCAAAAAGATCTCCGCATCAACATCAAAAACACAAACAATTCAAACCACGAAATCACCACCTCCACATTGATCTGCCCGAAGCTAAAACATGCAATCAACGAAAGAACCACGAGATTCAAACAAACAATAAACCGGAAATACAGATTCAAAAAGAAACTCGCCATACTCCCTACTCACCTCGTAAACCGTGAGGTTATCAACTTATCAGAACTCCATCAAGGCAAAAGATTAGATTCGGATACCGAGAGAAAAAATAGAAGAAGGAACCTCCAAGGATCTGCAGGAGAACGCAAGGAGATAAGCGGATGAACTTCAGGAATCAGAGGATCCGAACAGGTTCCGGATTCAAAAAAATCGGATTCCGAGTTTGTGCTCAGCTGTGTAATTCTTTAAAGAAAAACTTTATTTCTGGATTTTTTTGTTTGGAATTAAAATGATTCCAATTTGAAAGGCTCTCAAGGCAGTTTTATATCAGCGGCTTTCAAATCCATTTCCAGGTCAGTCTAAGAGAGAGAGAGAGTGTGTTGAAATGTAAGAGATAAAGACATACGGTTTTTTTAAGTAGACGATTTTAAAGGGTAATCAGCAAATTATGGACGGTTAAGTAACGGCTGTTAACTGTAAATTAAGTTTTACTGGTCCTATTTTTAGCCAATAATAATTAATTTTGTTATTTAATTTTTCTTTATTTAGCCACTTTATGTTTTAAAAAATAGTTTTTTGTTTATTTTTATTTTGCTTTAAGTAATTATCATGGAAGTAAATTTCACTAATTTTAGGATTTTGTTTTTGTGTGTTTCATAACTTTATTAATACAAATACGTCTAATTTAATTTTAAATTCTTAAATTACGCGAGTTGTTTATATTTAAAATAAATAATTTGTACAATTCTTTTCTGTTTTTTTTTTTAATTTTTATATTTTAAAATATATTATTTATAAAATAAACAACTCATAAAATTTAATAATAATATAAACATAGTTATTAGAACTTTTTGTACATACTATTTTTAAAAATAAAAATATTAATGAATCACTTAGTTTAACATTTGAAAATCATTTGAAAATATTATTATTATTTATATTTTTTAATTAATATTTTAAAATACAACTATAAAATATTTATTATATTTGACTATATTTTATTATTATTTGATTACTATTTTTACTACCATCTACTAATTATTAGTTTTAATCCAATGTACATTGCCTTATAATAATTAATATAACAAATTATCAAATTAATTTAGAAGATTTGGAATTTGTTGTAATTTGTTTTTAAACAATTTTCACTACAATTTGGTTTCTGACATTTTTTATTTGTTTAATTTTTTTTATTTACTAATAAAAATTAAATTAAATGTTATTTTTAAATATTTTAAAAAATAACTCAAAAAGATTACTTTAATTAATTAATTAAATTAATCATAATAAAAATATTCTAATACTATTATTAATTTATTAATCATTACTTTAATTAATTAGTTAAATTTATTTTTGAAGTATCTAAACATATATAATTATTTTAATTTTGAATCAAAAATAAAAAACTAAATATTTAAAATATAAAAAAATTCAATTATAACAAATAATAAATGTCAACAAATATTTTGATAATTAATTTTATTAATGAATAAGATAATAATAAATAAAAATTAATATTAAATATAAATATAAACAACTAGTAATTAAATATAAAATAATATTATGAAGTATCGATATTTTAAAATAACATAGACACTATTGAAGAACATATCTTTCAAATCTTATAAAATATATTAAAATTTAATAATAAATTTAAAATTTTAAATAAAAAATAATTAAATTTCTCTTTTCACTTACATGTCTGTTAATATATTTTTTAGAAAAATATTTTCCTAAATGAATTATATAACATACTCTCAAGGTTCATTTTTAAATAAAATAATTTTGGTTACTTAAAAAAAATAATTTTGGTTATTTATAATAATATTATGTTGGTAACGGCGTTTGTTCATGTGGTCGATATTTAATACAAGTTACATGTAAAACCCATAATTAATGTTAAATTGTGGATGAGAAGATAATACGTCGTTAATTATTAAAAGCTCAACTAATATTTAGGTTGACTCAAGTACTTATCTATAAAATATCACATAACGGCCCAAGAAGTTTAATAAAATGTAACGCCAAAATTTTAATTAATGATAATGGGGTTCAAATTCAATATACTCTAAATATTCGTATGTAATCACATGCTTTGATTTAAATAAATAAAAAAATTTATTGTTTGATAAACAAGTTATTTAATTAATTTAATTTAATATAAATTATTATTTTAAATATTTAGATTTGTTTTATTTAAATATAAATTATATATAGTTATAAAGAGAGATGGAATTCTTTTTTTTTAAAAAAAATAATGCATTAAATTAATTGAGTAGTGCATAAATAATTAGAGATAAAGACTCCCAAACATAAAAACTAAGAAACAAGTTGCATATATAACAATCTCAGAGGCCACCATATTACATTATTTTCGAACTCACTTGACTGTGATATCCGATCTCATCTTCAACAAGTCGCGCCAGTCTACTATAATGAGACCAAACTCCAAGTTATCATCCTCATTACAAGTTAACAC